GATGTGGTTTAGATAATTTAGGAAAATTTCAGAAACTGAACTAAAATTTTGAAGGGTTTGCACGGGTGGAAAAGATTAAGAGAAGATTCTGGGAGGCTCTAACAATATAAATAAACTACAGAAGTGAAAATGCAGATAAGTATTACATTATATTCATTTGTATACTACATGGAGGGTAAGGCATAATGGGGCCCCATAAATGATTATGGAAGTGGAGAGTCTTGGGAAACCAGGTTGGATGAGAGCTTGGGCAAAGATAGTGGCTGGGGAACAGAGAGGAAGGGACATAGAAGATAAACATTTTGAGGATGAAACCAACAGTACTTACTTATGAGAAATTAATTAATTAATTAAGCCCTCACAGTTCCAAAGGGATCTCACTACACCATGAAGACATAACATTTCTTCTCATAGAATTTGTGTCAGGTACAGCAGTGGTTCTTAATCCCACCAAAACAATATCCATTTATTGTGACCAATATTTTAATGACCCTTTACTCTCCTCAAATGAAATTCATTAATAATTTATAATGAATAATAGTTTTGAAAATATCACCATAATGCTTTCCTGTAATATAAAGGAAAACTCAAAGAAAGTGGTTAATATTAAAATATTTATTTTAATGTGTAGAAGCCCACATATGATTATACCAGAAGATATAATGATGTGGTCAGATACACCTATATGTAAAATGTGACAGCTACTAATGCAGACCCACATGGGTTTGTTGTGCTAATAACTCAAATACCACAAGTGACACGGCCTTCAGCGACACGATTCTCCAGAATGGCGGGTGATGCTTGTTAAGGTCCCAAACAGAAGGAAATATAGCCTTCCCTCAGTTATCCAAGAGTCGCAATACCAAGAATTCAACATGTATAAAAACCATGCAGAAAAACTTTGGTATGGATATGAAAGAGTCAAATTCTGTGCTCAAGAAATTATAAACAGGTTTCACCTGTTTCAAAGTTCACTGGAACTTTGGAAAGTCTCATGGGAAGTGGGACAACTTTTCATTGTCTAAGACGGAGGCATTGGGGGACATTTACCATCCCTGGATCCCAGCCATTAGATCGCAGGAACCGTGACAACTAGAAGTACCCCCACCATTTCGCAGCCCCGGAGGGAGAGTACTGCCCCCGCAGAGAACGCTGGCTCTCAGGTTTCAGCCGAGTGACTCAAGGACAGTGACAGACAGGGAAGTTGGAAGGGGAGGATTTGGATGGCAAGCCCAGAAAAGGAGTTGGCTGCAGAGATTTCTTCCTTAGTCAAGCAGAGTCTTCACTTTCTTAAATACTTCAAATCTGGCTTTTCCAACCTGGTAAGAGTTTTAAGTTCTGAGCCCAGGTAGAAAATAAAGTGAGGAAAAAAGACGATATTTTGTTTGGCATAAATGCAAACCCTTTCTGGCTTATTTCCTTTAAATGCCAACAAATGAGCCCTCCACGTTGGCTCATTGACAGGAATGTATTGTGTCTCAAAAACTCAGGAGAGATGTAGTTCCAACATGAATCCTTGAAACATTTTTGAAATTTAATTCTTGTTTTTCTTTAAACTACAGATATGATCTCATTCCGTTTTTTTTTTTTTTTCAGTTTTGTGAAGTATGCAATTAACATCTAATCCCTCTTGGCATTTGCATTCTGCACAATTGAATGTATTGAGCAGACACACGTGATTGTCTAGTATTATCACTGCATGTTGCCTTCTGCTTGGGTATCTTACATTGAAAGGACTTGATCCCCTTAGAGTACTTTCCAAAAGACTTTGAGCCATAGATTTCCATTTAACAATGATAATACACACATATACCCTCTTTCACAAATATGAATGTGCTGTATTTAGCTTGTAAATAGTCATTTGGCCCAAAGACACGGGGCACATTTCAAATGCATGCTGATTTATAATATCCCAAGAACATAAATCTGTTTGCAGTCTTATTCTAAGACCAAGTTTATTTGTTAGCCAATCAGATGTATAGTATTCACAGGACAGCAGGTTAAGCATTGTGAAGAAATCAGAAGTGAACTAGACACTTTACACCCTCAAGGAGTCTGTTGTCTAGTAGGGATGATAAAATCTCACATATAATATCATAAGTAAGTGGTAAACCATTGGAAATGTAAGATGGAGTGCTGATGGAGTTTCTAGGATGAAATAGTACTTTCCTTTGAAGAAGGCTTCCTGGAGGAGGTGGAATTTTTAACTTGACCTTAAGAATTCGTTAAAATTGTGACAGGTAGGACACGTTAAATTTTGCGGAATGGCTTTCTAAGCTGAAGTACATGTGGACAGAGGTCATGAGTGTGTGTGCCTGTGCGTATGACTTCCCATCACTTAATAATATGCATTCTCCAGGTATTGTCTGGGTGTAATTAAGTGACTGAATAATTGATAGTGCTATAAAGAAATCTCATTTGACATTGTTGCCTTTCGGAAAAAGTCCTCCAGTTTAAGAGCTAAATATAATCTTTACTTTTTTCCATTGAAGAATTCCCTTTCACAACTCCGGATCTTGGGATACTACTATAGCATTTCAAAAGTCTGGAATGTACTTTTAACTATATTCATAGTAAAGTGCAATCGGACATAAGGCAGGTCTGTCAGGATTGTCACAAAGAGTTCAGTGGCTAAAGTAGAGAGGTGTTCTCATTACCACGTGTTTCCCATGTATTGGACTTGACAACACAGAAACTGAGCCAGAGCACCCACGACCCCTGTGGTTCCATGCCCTTCCTTGAGACTGTTTCCTGGGGCTTGAATCAAACTGCTTCTGCTCCCTGGTGCTGGCCCAGACTTACTGTCCATCTCCCAATTCCTCTGGCCTCTACCTGTAATCCTCACCTGTAGTCTGGAGATTCAACTAAGAGCAAGTTAGTCAACATAAAATCTTGGCCAAAAGGACACATTTGTCTCTTGGAGAGATATTTGCACCCCACGGTCAGTGCAACTTTATTCACAGCAGCCAAGACAAGGAAACAACCTAAGTGTCCGTCAGTGGATGAATGGGTAAAGAGAACGTGATACACACAGAGGGGACTATCATTCAGCCACAAAAAAGAAGGAAATCCTGCCTTTTGCAACAACATGGCTAGACATTGAGGGCATTAGGCTAAGTGAAATAAATCAGAGAAAGACAAATACCGTATGTTGTTACTTATATGCAGAATCTAAAAAAGCTGAACTCAAGGAAAGAGAGAGTAGAATGGTGTCTCCTGGGGGTGGGAATGGGTGGGAATGGTGAAATGCTAGTCAAATTATACAAACTCCCAGCTATAAGAAGAGTAAGTTCTGGGGGATCTAATGTACAGCATGGTGACTGTATGCCATATTATATTCTTGGAAAGTTGTTAAGAAAGTAGATCTTAAGTGTTATCACCACACACACAAAAAAGCGGTAGTGATGGCAGGGAGGCGTGCAGAATGGAGGTGTATCAAATCATCACATTGTATACGTTAAACTCATATATGTTATATGCCAGTAATATCTCAAAAAAGCTAGAGGGCGTGGGGAAGGACATGTTTGTCAAAACTTAATTATCCTATGTTGGAAATGTTTCTCTCTGATCTGGATGGTAGTTACTGATGGGATGGGTGTATAAATTCATCAGGTTGTACTTTTAAGGTTTGTGCATTTCATGTATATTAATCCATTAGTAAAATAAAAATCCATTATCTCAGCCTCTAAAATGGGTATTGCCAATTTTGGTCTATCTGGTAATTTTGCAATGCTTTGTGCATTTTCAAGCACTTAAAAATAAATTTTCAGAATTTTTAGTGTTTTTCTTTTGTATTCCCTTTTAAATCCTTTTTCAATCAATGAGTTAACACTACTAGATAGCCAACAACAGAGGATTAATCGCAATAACAGCTTGTACCTCCTCAAAATTACAAACAGCTCAGTACAGCAATAATTGTCTTCCCCCCAAAAGTTTTTGAAACAAAAGAAGGGTGTGGCGGACAACATTTCTGGAAAAAGAGGAAGAAAATACTTGTTTCAAAAGCACCTTTTTAATGCTTCAGGATTTCCAGTATTTAAATATCTAGAATTTAAAGAGATTAACTTGCAACTGAATCATTATTTTGACCATGTTGTCATGTTTACCAGCTTGCATTCAGTCTCATACTTTTCAGCCAGTTCTTAAGAATTTTCCCATATTCTCACCTGATGGCTGTAGGTTTTGGTTAAAATTCAGATTGAAGTCTAGGGCGCCTGGGTGGCTCAGCTGGTTGAGTGACTGCCTTCGGCTCAGGTCATGGTCCCGGAGTCCTGGGATCGAGTCCCACATCGGGTTCCCGGCTCGGCGGGGAGCCTGCTTCTCCCTCTGACCCTCTCCCCTCTCATGCTGTTTCTCTCTCTCTCTCTCAAATAAATAAATAAATAAAATCTTTAAAAAAAAAAATTCAGATTGAAGTCTAGTGGTGAGCAAACAGTAACTGTGTGATGATGTCAAAGGGGACAAAAATAGAACTGACAGTAAAAGCTTTACCATTAGCCATGTTTAAGCACTAAAGAGAGAGAAACACTCCCTTCTAGGAGAGGCATTTTGAAAAAAAAAATCAAACTTGATGCCATTAAATTACAGCATTAAATCCATGAAGTCCAGGACCTGTATGAAAATTAAATTTTAGGGACGCCTGGGTGGCTCTGTCAGTTAGGCATCTGCCTTCTGCTCAGGTTATGATCCCGGAGTCCTGGGATCGAGTCCCATGATCCCAGAGTCCTGGGATCGAGTCCCACATCGGGTACCTTGCTCGGCAGGGAGCCTGCTTCTCCCTCTGCCTCTGCTCGCTGCTCATGCTCTCTCTCTCTCTCTGACAAATGAATAAATAAAATCTTTTTTTTTTTTTAAAGAAAATTAAATTTTAACTTCTTCTCGCCAACAAACCTAGCCAAGCTCACCATCTTGGATGGATTTACCAGTAGGATGAAGTGTCTCTGACTGTTGTTATTATTTGTGAAGGTAGCCATTTAGCACGAACTGTTTTATTGGCACAGGACAGCTGGGAAGTGGTGGAAGGGCTGAGAGGAGAGATGAGTTACACCCAGGAGCCTCCCATTCAGGAAGGATTTTTGCTGAAAAAGAGGAAATGGCCCTTAAAAGGCTGGCACAAGGTAAGACGCTGGTCTTTGCTTCACCTTTATTTGCACGCACTCAGTACATGGTTTGTAGGCGTGTATATTTAATTTGAAGTTGAAAATTGGGACCGAGGGAAAGGAAGATGTCTAAATGGGGTGTCTTAGTGAATTATACTTTCTTCCCTACAGAGATTTTTCTATCTGGACAAAGGAATCTTGAAATATGCCAAGAGCCAAACCGATGTAAGTCTTCTTCTTAATCAAATATGTTACTAAGGAATTCTGAAGGGCTAATTGTTGTCAGCTCCTGGAAGAGATTGTACACATTTGGGGATTGTATTTCTCTGAACTGGAAACCGAAGGGGGTAATAGTTCCTTCACATGGACCAGAGGTGCCTACTCCACACTGTCCCAGGCCTGGGTTCTGGGTGGGCTCAGTTCGCTCCTGAGTATCCAGGGGTCTGTTCAGGTCTTAGGGTTGGGCTGACATTTTCCCAGCAAGATAACAGGAATAAAACATAGGAGAGGTATCACTCCCACCGTTACAGTGACCGAGGGGTTTGGTGGGGAAGGCCCTTGATGGTGATAGAAAATTCTCTATTGCTTTAACACTAGGGAGACAGCCCATAAGGGCTGGAATGACTGTTCGTCCTGCCCCTTGTACGGGTCCTCCTCTCACCCAGCGCTTCCCTCTTCCTTTCTTGCTTCCATTGACTCATAGAGTGCTCATCTTGTAGGGTTGCATGTAGAAAACCTGGCATAATGCCTGAACCACGGTGGCTTGTCTTAGCTTCCTGCCCTTACGCCTCTTTTTAAATCACTTCTGATTGCCTTAACCGCTTGTTACTTAACCCCTCTTAGACCAAAACAGATAATGGGTGGACATCACTTAATTCAGTACCCTTTCACACTAAATGCTTGGTAAGTCATAGTTCCTATGTTTGTATTCGTGGATGTTGACGGGGAGGCTACAGGAGAGGAGCGTCAGGGATGTTACTACTGTTGTTAACACCCTGGACCTCAAGCGGCCCTCTTCTTACGCCTCTGCAGATCGAGAGAGAGAAGCTGCACGGCTGCATTGATGTTGGGCTCTCGGTGATGTCCGTAAAGAAGTCATCAAAATGCATAGATCTGGATACCGAGGAGCACATCTACCATCTGAAGGTGAGGCTGCTTCCCAGGCGCCATCTCCTGTCGCACGGTTTCTTTAGGTTGCAAAGGGATTGGTGATGCCCTTTGATTATCTCAAAAGATCCAACCAATGTGTAGAAGATCTTCCTTATGAAAGTATTTCTAACAGATGCTATTGATATTTGGATGGACCATCTCACACACTGCTAAAGGTTTAGCATCCTTGTCGCCCACCCCCTAAGGACCACCCCTCCCACATACCGTGATTGTGACAACAGTCAATGGTAAAAAAAACTTCATGTTTCCGAATAACCCCTCCTTCCCCTAGACTGTGCCACCTTTAGTGAAGAACCATTTACCATAGGTTAAAATAGGTTCCCTGAAATACAATATTTAATATTTAGTCTTACCCTTTTAGCTAATTTTATAGGGATTCCATTAAAATTCTCATACTACAGTGAATGTCAAGAACTTTTCTCCTAAAATATGGGCCTCCAAATCTACCCCTGAAAGCGGCTTACTCCTCCTTTCTGTCCTCTCCCCTGCAGATGGTATAGATGGTTAAAAGCATGATATAGGAGCTTCAGAGGTCCAGATCTGGTTCAAATCTTGACCTGGCTACTTACTAGCTACTGGCCTTTGGCAAATTTTTTTTTTTTAAGTTTTATTTATTTATTTGACAGAGAGAGACAGCGGGAGAGGGAACACAAGCAGGGGGAGTGGGAGAGGGAGAAGCAGGCTTCCCGCCGAGCAGGGAGCTCGACGCGGGGCTCGATCCCAGGACCCCGGGATCATGACCTGAGCCGAAGGCAGACGCTTAACAACTGAGCCACCCAGACGCCCCTTTTGGCAAATTTTTTAATCCCTGAAAGTCTCTGTTTTCTCACCACCCTTCCCCAGAATAGGAATTATTAGAGTGCCCATGTGGTACCGCTGCATGGAAGACACTTGGCATGATGCCCAGACTGCTGTCAGCTCAATAAGTTTAGTTTTTGTGTATAATTATTAGGTGGTACCCAAATGTGAGGAATTAATTGAGAGGATGTTAAGACTCTTTTCTTACTTAGGCAAATTACTTGGAATATTGAGAATGGGGGCTGGGAGTTGGGAAAGTGGGAGCATGAGATGATGAGCTCCGTGTCTTAAGATGCCCCATGCTTTCCTCATAGCATCTGTGCGGTGCTTGCACAAATCTATGCATAACACATACGTGTGCTTGACTGACTGCACAAGATGGTCAAATCCATACTGTCTCCTAGCCTAAGCCCCAAGCAAAGCAGGGTTTCTCATCCTCAACACTATTGACATAGTGAACTGGAGAATTCTTTGATGTGGGGTCCGTCCTGTACATTATAGGATGTTGAAGGGCATCCCTGGCCTCTGCCCACTAGATATCGGTAACAAACTCCCTTCACTTATAACAGCCAAAAAATGTCTCCCATTGCCACATGTTCCTTGGTTGACAATAACAACAACAACAACAAAAAATTAGGAAAGAATAGCCCAACCACCCTGTTTCAAAGGTCAGTCTCCTCTAGAATAGTTTCAGTCGTGTCTCCATGTACTTCCAATGACTCTTACTTAGTTCTGTTTTTTTTTAATTAAGATTTTATTTATTTATTTGACAGAGAGAGAGAGTACAAGCAGGGGAAGTGGCAGGCAGAGGGAGAGGGAGAAGCAGGTTCCCCGCCAACAGGGAGCCTGATGTGGGGCTTGATCCCAGGGTCCTGGGATCATGACGTGAGCCGAAGACCAATGCTTAACCGACTGAGCCACCCAGGTGCCCCACTTAACCTAGTTCTGTTTTGACATGGTCAGGAAATAATAGTTTCTTGTTCATCTGCTATTCTAGTTAATAGAATAAAAGTAATTATTAATTCCTAATTTTTGAGGAACCATAGTGCCTTAAAATAACACTATGTACTTATATCATGATAAACAACAGTTTACTATTTCCCTGTGTTGATCTACTTTAAGTTCTGTTCATCTTTCCTGTTCATTCATTTGAACGTCAGCTGTGAGTAGTAGTGTAGGTATGAGCAGTTGTCTGCGGGTCCTCGTTAATAGCCTCAGAGTCAGGCAGTCATCCAGTCCCATTGTCTTATTTTATAGATGAGGAATCTGGGCAGCCAAGGGGTTAAGTGGCTGTCCACCCACGGTCCTATATCAACTTGTGGGGTTGGAACAGAATGCTGGACAGTTATTTAATAAAGTGCTTTTATTCTTCTACCTCATTTAACCAATAAAAAAATGAGTCAAGAGGAATGTTTTGGGCGCCGATTTTTAAGGGCCTCTGAGAGCAGATCAGTGCAAAGGGTGATGTAAGATTCCTGTGAAGTTCCCGCCGTAAGCGCATCTGGGAAGTGAAATACCTTTCGAGGACATAATTTAGGGGGAGATAAGTAGATATAAGTCAGTTTGTATTGCTTTTTCCTGTAAATGATGTATTCAGTAGCACCTGGAGGGGTTTTAAGTCCTGAATGTACTTCTAATCAACACAACAGACCTAAGAGCCGACCTAATGTTTCCTAAATGAGTGATGGCTATAGACATCCTTGCTTTCAGCAGTGGTGGTAGTAAAGATTTTAACAGATTGACCTGGAGTTTTCTTCTCGGAAGGTAACCTACCATGCATCCTGTTGGGTGATTTTAAGCTGCCACTTCATGAGTCTCAGTTCTAATATATAGGTATCTATTGTTTTTCACTTTGAAAGTATTAATACAGCCCTGTACATACAAAACCTGGACTGTGAAGAAAGATCTAGTGCATAGGTGCTTGTTATATTCTTTTTAGTACTTTTGTGAACATTTGAAATACTTTATAATAAAAGTTGCTAGTTATAAACATTATTCTTCATGGAAAGTAGACACTGATAGATACTCATTTATGGTGGTGTAGGTGTGTTTGAAAAATCTTGGAAATCTCCAATAATAGTTTTTCACATTTTTTTTTTCTATTTCCAAGTGCAGGAGGAAAGTTTTTTAAAATAACCTTCACATTCCTCAGCAATGTGTTCTTTGTCAGAGAAGATTAAGAAGGTTAAATATTTGGGGAAGAATTTACAAATTTGTTCCAGTTCAGAGAAGATTGATCTGAAAGGTCTGAATTATAAAAGAGTTTAAAAGAAACATGGTGCTAATATTTTCAGTAAGAATAGGAAAAGTGGGGACAAGTGAATTTGGGAATGTTTTGAGGCAGGTAAATATGAATTCTAGTTTATTTGTTGTTCAATATGAGTGGTAATGTTTTGCTTTCTTAATAATAGCATGACAATTGGACCCTTTCATTGAGAGCCTAAATGAAGTTTATGAAGACCATTTTTATTCTCCATTTCCTCCTCAAACTTGTTCCTGTAGATCGCAAATGTAAACTAAGTCAATAAACTTGTATTTCTACATTTCTCCATGTGCCAACATGTAAAGAGAACGTGTCTCAATTGAATGAAGAAATTGCTCCTTTCAGTGAGGGATGCTCTTGTTTCCCTCTTTTTAATATAATTTAGGTCAAGTCAGAAGAAATCTTTGATGAGTGGGTATCCAAACTCCGCCACCACAGAATGTATCGTCAGAATGAAATCGCCATGTTTCCACACGAGGTTAACCACTATTTCCCAGGATCCACTGTCACAGACTCCACATCTGGGGTCTTGGACTCCCTTTCAAGTAGGAAGGTAAGAGCTTGCCAATTATGAGTCTAAAAGAAGGGGGTGGCTTTGTGCGGGGGTGTCCCAACCCAGGGGCTCCGTGTGAAGGAAGAAGAGCTCGTGGGAGGAATCTCTTTGTGCAGTTGGTCAGAACCAGGACCAGAGGAACATCTGCTGTCCCTGGGACAGTAACTGATGAACGGCTCATACAGGGGAATTTAATGGCCCTGAATGCTGCAGCCTCCCTTGACTATTTTGACTTTGGTTTTCTTTTCTGGTTGTAAATGCAGTATGCATGTTTATAGCCATAGAGGATTGCGAAATTTCCCAACATTTCTATCATGATTTTGGTATGATTATCATTTGACCGAAGAAGAAATTCAGGACAGCAGCCCCAGGCATGAGAGCATGGTATGGCCAGGCTGAGGTGACAGCCAGAGCTTAGGGTCTCTAGTGGAGTGCTTTGTAGAAGCTTCTTCCCCATTATAGGCAGACGGCTTCCATTAGCGACTGGCTCACTTTGTTGTCCTTTACCCTAACGTGTTCCCACTGGGCTCTGTTTTCATTTATAATGTGCTTTTTGTCATCTGTGGAACAGCGTAGCAGTATATCAAAGCAGAGCTCGATTCAAACTGGAAGCAATTTATCATTTTCTTGTGCTGGTGAGACACGAGTTCCATTATGGTTACAATCTTCAGAGGACATGGAGAAATGCTCAAAAGGTAAAATGACTTGAAACCTCTGCTTCTTTCTGTCATGGCTCTTAGATGGCACTCGTTGAGTATTTACACCTCAGGTGAATTTCCCCGTCACTGTTCCACATTTCCACTCAGAGTTTGCTTACTGAGTTTGCAGTGGTGATGAACAAAATACGCTCTCCCTGCAGAGCTTCACGTCTTCACCTGGGTGTGCATGCAGACAGGTTTCCTTTCATATTCTTTAAGTACCCAGGTCTGAATTCCATGAGGACCTCCTAAATTGCAGTCTCCATGGGTGGGCTCTACACAGCTCTCTAGTTTTTTTTTTAAGTGCTAAAACTGACTCCGGTGTACATCCAAGATCGGGAGTCATTGCTCACGGTGAGTGGGTGAACCAAATGGAGCTCCCCACGAAATAGGAGTTCTCTACCCTATCTGCACACGAGAATCACTAGAAGAGCATTTAAAAGGCAAGAATACCCACTCTCCACAAGAATTTCTTTAAATTGGTCTGCACTTGGGCCCTGGCATCACTGATTTTCTACAGTTTCCCAAATGACTCTGATAAGGAGTCAGGATTGAGAACCCTTCCATAAAGAAGCTCAGTGTTCTCAACTCTAATTAGCTAAGAACCACCCAGGGAACTAAAAAACGAAACAAGTCACCAGTGGGATTGGGGATGTTCTGATTTAATTATATCAAGATGGGACTTGGACATATGGAATTTAAAGAATTTCCCCAGTTGATTTTAAAGCAGAGCCATGATTGAGAACCACGATGAGAGAAAGATGCCAGGTCTTGAAAAGCACATTTTCTCCCGTTGAATGCAAATACTATCACACTTGGGGCCATATAGGATTTGCCCTCCCAGTAAATGTCACGAGGGAGCTTCACTGAGCTCACACAGCTTTGGCACAGCTAGTCCTCGAAGTGCCATCTCTGGGCCAGCAGCATTGTCCTGGCCTGCAAACTTATTTGAAACGCAAATTCTCAGATAGACCAAATCAGAAACTGTGGGTGGATCTCAGTGATCTGTGGTTTAACAAGTTCTCCAGTTGATTCTGATGATGTCAAAGTTTGAGAGCCATTTGGGTCTTGCTTTCTTAGTGGAAACAGCCACCATCATCCAGTGAACAACAAATTAAGGACTATCTTCTGAGTTAGCGACCAAGGAACTGGTATGAGAACTCTTAGGTCCTCTTGGGTCAATGTGCAGATGATCATCACGATCTCCTGTGGGTCCCTGATCGACAGGTATCCTTAGAGACCAATGCAACCTTCAGCTTTGTTTCATTCATTTATTTGTTTGGAGTCCTTGTAAGCAGAGAATGACACCCTGTTATTACAGTATTAGAAATAATGATGATAATGATGATAGCTGATTTACTTACTGCTGACAGAGTACCAGCACTCTAAAAGCATGCTGCCTCTGTCAACTCACAACTGTCCTATGAAGGCAGGTGTATGATTCTCTCCCTTTCCCAGATGAGAAAACTAAGGCACAGAGAAGTGATATAATTTGCCCAAGATTCAGAGTTCAGGAAGGGTTCAAACAGAGGCAGTCTTATTCTCCAAATCCATGCCCTTCACCGTGACAATGTACTGCCTCTTCTGTAAAAAAGAAAGTAAAATTTCGTCTCCGTACAGATGTAAATCAAGTAGTATAGATAAATTTACAAAGTAGCTGGCACTTGCCTAGGGCAAGCTGGGTGCCAAGATGAGGGCTTATGAATCTTCCTTTTGCTTTTCTCCCACAGACCTGGCACACTGTCATGCCTACCTGGTGGAAATGAGCCATCTCCTCCAAAGTATGGATGTCCTGCATCGGACATATTCGGCGCCTGCAATCAACGCCATCCAGGTCAGCCAGATCCCTCTGCTGTTTGCACTCCGGTGTTTTTCTGCTTCCCTCTCTCCTCGCCAGCCTCGCACTAACAGTGGGACATTGTCCGGTCTTGATTGCCTCAGCCACATTCGAGGGGATGGAGGTGGTCACTTTGCTGTGCAGTTTTCCCCAATTGGTCTGGTAGGCCTTACTTTCTGTGCTCTCTTTCCTGTTTTGAAACAAAGGGTGGAGCTTTTGAAAGTCCCAAAAAGGAAAAAAGATCACACAGGAGGTGGCGGTCCAGAGCTATTGGCAAAGATGCTAAAGGAACGCTGCAGGTAACCATTGCTTCCTCTGCTCTCCGTGCCACATGCTGGGGGCTGCTGGGACTCCCGATAGGATTTTCTACAGTCGTTCTCACAAATACCCTGTGCAGAGAGAAATTCAGTGACTTCGATTTTCTGGATACTACAGTAAGCATGTAATGGAATTGGGTAAGGGGAAAATGGCATGAGGATGGAGGGAGTGCAGCCGTTTCTCGGACTTCGGTGTCCCCTTCTTTAATGCTGAGCCCGCCTGCCCTCTTCCTTGCTTGTGTGTGTGCTCTTACCCACCTCTTCTGCTGCCAGTCAGTGGATTCATCATCCCTCTGAGCCCACTGGAGTCTCTGGAAACGGGACATTGTGCAGACTCTCTTTTGCCTCTTGTGTCCAACCTCCCAAACCCCCATCAGAGTTTCACTGAGCTACATTAGCCACTGACTTCCCCGGTGCACAGCTAAGCCAGAGGCTAAGATTTGCAGCTCGGCCATTGCATATTAAATTAGGACATTGTTAGGGTCAAATAAATCAGAGACTTAATGGGTAAGTCATCTGCTATACCCTTGCATACTCTTTGGTTCAAAGCACTTTATGGGTTGAATGGAAGTACTTTCCAAGTAAAGAGTGATTTGTGTACAAACATGTGAGAAGTTAGCTTTGTAGAAGCACCAGAGGCAAATTAAGGAAACGTTTTAAAACCTATCCACTGTTGGGCGCCTGGGTGGCTCAGTTGGTTAAGCGACTGCCTTCGGCTCAGGTCATGATCCTGGAGTCCCGGGATCGAGTCCCGCATTGGGCTCCCTGCTCAGCAGGGGGTCTGCTTCTCCCTCTGCCCTCTCCCCTCTCGTGCTCTCTGTCTCTCTCTCTCTCTCTCTCAAATAAATAAATAAAATCTTTAAAAAAATAAAATAAAATAAAAATAAAAAAATAAAACCTATCCACTGTTAACAACCTAGATGCTGGATGATTATTGCTAGGAGGAAGGAATTGAGTAGAAATGAGAAAGAGCCTGGCAGCTTTAGCTGTCATTTTCAACCTAGAGCTTTAATGCTTCTATCATTTGCAAAAGAATATGTGATTTCTCACCCATTTTTATTTCGCAAGAAGCCAGAGCAAGTTGCTGGAGAAAGTGCTTTCCTGGGTTTTCATTTATTTTCTTTTAAGTCATCACTCAATAGAAAGATTTACCTATAAAATGTTCTTCTACAACATTCTAATCTTAGTAACAAGAAAATAGTCTAAGCAGGGCGCCTGGGTAGCTCAGTTGGTTGGGCGACTGCCTTCGGCTCAGGTCATGATCCTGGAGTCCCGGGATCGAGTCCCGCATCGGGCTCCCTGCTCAGCAGGGAGTCTGCTTCTCCCTCTGACCCTCCCCACTCTCATGTACTCTCTCTCATTCTCTCTCTCTTAAATAAATAAATAAAATCTTTAAAAAAAAAAAATAGTCTAAGCAATTTGCATCTGAAAAGAAATGTCTCCCTTTGGTGTCACTTCAGGTCCCTAAACCTTTCTCTGGCCCAATAAGACTGCATTCCTCCAATCCTAATTTGTCAACGTTAGATTTTGGAGAAGAGAAAAATTACTCTGATGGCTCTGAAACCTCGTCGGAGTTTTCTAAAATGCAAGAAGACCTGTGTCATATTGCCCATAAAGGTAAATGAGTTTTCTTTCTTCCTGATGTGTTTGATGAAAATGTCAGGTGCATGTCTGGGTAGGGGATGCCCTTGGAGCGGGCATCTTAGTTGGTTCATTTTCTGCTCTATTAGGATTTGGGGCAATCTAATTTTTATTTTATTTCCCTGGTAGTAGGGAGGGTATTGACAAGAAGTTTCTTCTTTAAGCCCTTAGGGGAGATGGTGAGAGCATTAAGTATTCTTTAACTCACATGCTGCTGGTGGCGGGATAGATTGGTGCTTTTCTGGAGAGCAGTATGACGTTATGTTTTGAGTTTAAAAAAAGAAATCTGCCTACCCAGCAATTCCACTTTGAAGAATTCGTTCGTAGAAATTAATTTAAAATTTATCCAAATAAAGATATCTCTTGCAGCATTGTTTATCACATCAAAAACTAGTCATAGATGTGCAACATCCTTAGCCATTAGGGAACTGCAAGTTAAAGCCAGGATGAGGTATTACTGTACCCCTATCATAGCTCCACAAAGATACAAATGCTGGTGAGGACATGGAGAAACTGGGTCCCTCATATATTGCTGGTGGCAATTCAGGACAGTACAGGCACTCTGGACAATGGTTTGGCAGTTTTATAGAAAACCAAACATCACTTGCCACAGAACTCAACATTCGCATTCCTGGCCATTTATCCCAGAGAAATGTGAACCTGAGTCTACACAGAAACCTATACATACAATGTCAGAGCAGCTTTATTTGTATTAGCCAAAGATTGGAACAACCCAAATGTCTTTCAACAGGGGCATGATTAAACAAACTGTGGGACATCCCTACAATGGAGTACAGCTCAGCAATAAAAAGGAACAAATGCTCATATGCATAGCTGCTTGGGTGGATCTCAAGGACATTATGATGAGTGAAAATAGCCAGTTTCAAAAGGCTGCGTAGTGTATGATTCCACTTATTAATACTTTTGAAGTGATAAAATGATAGAAGCAGAGAAGAGATTAGTGGTTGCCAGGGCTCAGGGAAAGGGAAAAAACATGGGTGTGATTATGAAGTGGTAGCAAGAGGGATCTTGATGGTAACGGGAAGTTCTGTATCCTGATTATGGTGGTGGTCCCATGAATCTACACATGTGATAAAATTGCAAATAAAATATATTTACACACATACACACAAATGAGAGCACATAAAACTGGTGACATCTGCAGGAGAGCTGTGGATTAGGCCAATGTCAGTTTCCTGGTTTTGATACTTAGCATAGTTCTATAAGATGTTACCACTGTGGGAAACTGGGTATAGGGTACCCGGGTCTTCTCTGTACTGTTTTTGCAACTTCCTGTGAATCTATAATGATTTTGAAATGGAAAGTTTTTGTTTTTTTTTTAAATGGACATAACCTAAATGCCCAACAATAGGGAAATTGGATTTTATAATGCAATATAGTTATGTGATAGAATAATCAACAGCACAATAATAAAAATATGGAGCACATAGCTATGAGGTCAGGTATTCACTAAGCACTTTATATGCACTGTTCCATTTCATTCTAGCAGCAACGTGTGGAGCAGATATCATTGTAATCTTCATTGCACAGATAAGAAAGCTGAGGCTTGAAGAAGCTGAAGAGCTTCCTGAATAAGAAAGTGGTAGAAAGTGGCCCACCTGAGACTTGAATCCCAACCTGCCTGGCCCAGTCTGGTGTCTCACCACCCTTACGGAGGGGATGGCCAGGGCTACATACCATTGAGTAAAAATACAGGTCTCAAAACAATGTATAGGTATGATCCTGTCTGTTCAGAAAAAATAAACTATATAAATCTGGCAGATATAGGTGTACTAAAAAGTCTGGAAGGATCTACACCAGCATTTTAGTGATGGAGGCTGGAGTTGTAAGTGCTTATTATCTTCTTACTGCTTGTCTTTTAAAAAAATGTGGTATATTTATCATTTTTTTAAAAGGGCAAATGGGCTTAAAAGTTTTAAATGGGAGGGCAATGGGGTGCCTCAGTGGCTTAGTCGGTTAAGTGGCAGACTCTTGATTTCGGCTCAGGTCATGATTTCGGGATCATGAGATCGAGCCCCGCGCCGGGCTCCTAGTTGGGTGTGGAGCCTGCTTAAAACTTTCCCTCTCCCTCTGCCGCTCCCCTCCTTAGAAATTTTTTAAAAAATGGGAGGGCAATGCTTGAAGTGAGAGGAAGGAAGATACTGGCTCTGCTGCTTTATTCTCCTGGCCCCGTGTTTTTCTCCCATGACATTATTGATTCTTTCAGCTCCCGTTTCCCTTACACCCCGCAAACATAAAACATGTTGGTTATGAGGAAACCATTTTATGTTCTTTACAAATCCCAACCTCAATCAAACTCATGTTCTAGTTGCTGTCAGAACTTTGTCAGTGTTTGCAATGCGGTTGTAGGATGAGTCTGTAAGAGGGGAAGGATTACCTGCCCCGCCCAAAGCTCTTCACGCAGGCCCTTGTATGTTCTCTAGTATTAAAGGATCGGTTGCAATCAGGGCATTGCATTTTAGGCTTTGTGGGAGGAAATCCCTGAAAAAAGAGCACAACTTTTTAATAACACGAGCTGTCGGGGCACCTGGGTGGCCCAGTCAGTTAAGCGTCTGACTCTTGGTGTCGGCTCAGGTGGTGAGGCTGCGTTGGGCTTGCACTCGGTGTGGAGTCTGCTGGAGATTCTCTCTCCCTCTGCCCCTCCCGCTCGTGCTCTCTCTCGCTCAAATAAATGAATAGATCTTTAAAAAAAACAAAAACAAAAACCCACGAACTGTCTTTTTACGAATGAGAAGCTAATGCATCCCCGCAGCAGGGCTGTCCTGAATTTTGTCACTGAAGAAGCTGCTCCCTCAGCAGAGAGAGAGAGGTTGCGGTGCGGAGTCAGGCCACGGATACCCCCGCAGAGGGCTCAGCCTTGTGGCCCGTCTGAAATGGGCTGCAGCCAGCTGTTTTGCCTTTCAGGCTTTGTTACACCAAGCTGGCTGCAGAGACTGCCACATGCCTAGACGAGGTCTCGATTTGTGCTCCGAGATTTGTGCACTTACTCAACAACAACAGCTTTTGCCCCGTGGGCTTAGGGCCTCGAATCCCACAGGGAGCCTAACCGGCTGTGTTTCACTGCTGTGGATTCCAAGTACATACACTCGCGCAGACTGACGGATCTCTGGGAGTCCCTTTCACACAGGCTGTGACTCAGAGGCCTCGTGGAATGGAGACACTTCCCAGGTTTGTCCTCAGGCCTGCGAGCTTGCGCGCTTTCTCACTTCCATACAGTCAGACTCAAAGCATCTTGACCTTTCCTTTCTTCCCGTGTGGGCCTGACCTGGTCACGGGCCGTTTGTATGGTACTTTCTTGACTGTATGACTAATCTGTCGACTATGATTCCAGGGCAGGCGAACTAAATGTAGGAATTCCACTGATGTTGTAACATAGTCTGTGTTACCTCCTTTTTCTTTAATTTGTTAAATGCATCTCAATGCTCTCTGTTTTGTAGAAGATTAGATCAAAGGGTGGACAACCAATATATACCCATCATAGGTGAAAAAATCCTTCTTATATATTATAAATGGAATTTGATTTTTATGGCATATCATTGAAATAAGTTTCATTGGTTCATGTGTCTGGCTTTGAGCATATGTTGACACACATATAAGTAAGCAGAGAACAAAATGTACCAAAACTTAAAAGCCATTAAGGAATTTACATTGCATATATTAACTTTTACATTTCTCCAAATATATTCACGGAACACTTTGCCCATAAAATGCTTTTAAAAACAAAAGAATTCCATGGTTAAAAATGTTTGGAAAACACTGCTGACTATGGTCCCCTTTGAACTTACACAAGAATAGTAAATATTAAAGGCCCTGAGAAGTCCTGCAGCAGAGAAGTCTGTTAGTTTTGTTTAAGTCAGTGATTTTCAATGTATTTGGAAATCTTTCCCTCACTTCCCCAGTAGCTGTTGACACCCAGGAACTAAAGTTCTTTAGAAACATAATGCAGGAAACACAGTAAATAATAAGCCTTTATGGAGCTAACCCTCTATACCATCTGAGTCAGAAGATAGGCATTCATTCTAAGCCACTCTGTTATGACTAGCTGTGGAATTTTTATCTCAGCCAGTTAACTTCTCTGGGCCTCAGTTGCCTCACCTGTTAAATGGCCTAAAGTAGTTCTGACTTTTGGGTCTCAAATTCTGTAACTATTTTCTATGATTGGTTATTTTGTTCTGAATAGAATTCATGCTGTTGCTTACTGTTACAAGAAGGTTTTATGAGACAGTGTTCTATTCTTAGCTGAATAGAAATGACTGAATATGGTGAGCAGTTGTAGGATAGGAGAGCAAGGACTAGGATAGGACCAGGGTCCTCTGGAAGTGGGGCATTTATGTTCTACTTTGGAAAGAAAACAAGGTTAGGTTTTTTTGGTTTTTTTTTTAAGATTTTATTTATTTATTTGAGACAGAGAGAATGAGAGAGAGAGCACATGAGAGGGGGGAGGGTCAGAGGGAGAAGCAGACTCCCCGCAGAGCAGGGAGCCCGATGCGGGACTCGATCCAGGGACTCGATCCAGGGACTCCAGGATCATGACCTGAGCCGAAAGCAGTCGCTTAACCAACTGAGCCACCCAGGCGCCCCAAGGTTAGGTTTAATGATACTTTCCTAAAGGTATTTTCAGAGAGGGAAAGCCTCATTTACAAATGAAAAGATTAAAAGTAGAACAAAATTAAACTGTATTCCATTATTTAGCATTCTTTTGTTTTTGATTCTTTTCCTGTGTTGAGTCTTAATTGTTGAAGGATCATTTTCTGAACTGTTTTGAGTTTCTGGAAGCATTAGATAAAAAACCAAGCATGTCACGGTGCCATCATTTTCATAGATTAAAAGCTAGAAGATATACAGAATTTAAAGAAAAGCCAGATCACTTATCAAGCATAATTTAGAATTCAGCATAAGAATAGGCTCAGCACTTGCATTTATGTAAATTATCTGGAAATAAGTAGGACCATTTA